GAAAAAGATGACGACTTGCGTGCTTGTAAAAGCTACCGTCTAACGGATAATAACCTAAAAGAGTAAATTACACGCTTAACTAATTTTAATATGTATCATTGGCTTTTAAAATTAAAAGCATAATTAAATTCCAACCAACCTATAAGTAAATATAATTGATACAAGTGTCAGAATTCACAATTCCCAGTACGAACCCCTGGTATGAATCTGTGGGGAAAAGTCAAGAAATCAGGACACATCATCCAGGTTTAAACATTCCTATTTACTTTAGTAGAATTTATAAAAGTGACTGTAATAACGTTTATAACCAGTAGGTCTAAATTCGTGCTTATTCGTGAGTTAGTGTAATTGCCGAAAGAACTAGGTAGAGTGTAGAAACATACGAATAGATACATCATAAGTGACATTCGAAAACCGAACAGATTGATGTTATATGTATATAACCGAATGATAGCGTCCGTTAGTTTAGAACAAGTGAAACATGCGATTAGATGAGGGAATTTAGGCGAATGGCATAATGCGTAAAAGGAAACGAACCGAATGCCGGCTTGAAACGAACGGGGCTCCACCGTGTAAAGCAAGGAAATTTGCAACGGTTGCTTTACGGCGGGCCTGACTTACGGTTTTGTGATGGAAAAGTAATGAGCGGGCTGTGCGGAGAGCCAGGGAAGCACCAGACCAGGAGACCATGAGGGAACAAGTAAGGAAAATCCAAGATGGCGATCTGAACCGGAAGTAAAACGTTTCAGACTCGCCAGACCAGCAATGGTAAGGTGGGAGTGGATTGGCAGCCCTTTTAAAGGTGAACCAAGCCCCTCCCACAACTCCAGGCCAAGCCTTCAAATATATATATATGTAATATATACATATATATATGTTATATATACATATATATATATATATATATATATATATATATACACATACATACACACACACACCCTGGGACGCTCTCTTTAGTGCAGAGGAGGCTGGTGGGCTCTGATGGGACACTATTACTTATGCTGAGATGTTTTTATTTGTATTTCTAATAAATATTTGCATACGTTACCTGACGGCTGGAAATGTATCGATAGGATCCTACGCACACCAGGGACTGATCCTCCCTGAACTGGATAGTTCATTGTGGTACTCTAACCACTCTGTGTTTATGAGTGCTTTTTCATTAGTTTTTACAATTATTTATGCTTTCCTGACAATATTGCACTATTTGCTTTTATTTGTTTTTATCTCCTAGATTTGTTTATTGCGATTATATCATTGTGTGTTAGTGTCCGACGGGTGCCACAATTATCACTATATATTGTATTAATATAACACCCAGATGACATTACCAATTGGGCACATATTCACTAAATAGTGTGCACTATGGGTACTTCAATGAAGTTTTAAAATTTGATATATAAGATTTTATATTTTGCCTAGTAGTGATTTAATATACTGCGCACCAACTTATCACCATCTATATTATCTAAATTCCATTATTGGGATTTTGGTTGGTTGCTGCAATCTGTACCCACAAGTTTTTTTCTGTGTATTTTGCGCCACCTTATTTATATATACATTTACATATACAGATTATATAGAATAGCCAAGAGAATCAGTTCCCGGAACCGCCCAGACTACTACCAAACAGTTGGTAGTACCCAGGAAATATGGGCAGGAACTGTTAAAAAATAGCCCACAACATTCCCCTAGCAGGGCATTTGGGGGTAAGCCGCACCAAACATCGGCTCACCCAGAGTTTCTTCTGGCCAGGCATCTCTAAAGACTTGGAAAATTAAGGAAAATGGGTTACAGGCGCAGGGCCAAGCTCCATCCTCTCCCAGTCATTGACGAACCGTTCACCAGGGTAGCTGTCGGCATCATAGGTCTCGTAGCTAAGCCTAGTCCTTCTGGGAAGAAATATATTCTGACCATTGTGGACTATGCTGCCAGGTATCCCGAGGCAGTGGCTCTGAGTAATATTCAACCCGAGACTAGCTGAAGCGCTGATGCAAGTCATTTCCCGCATGGGATTTTCAGATCTCTAAGGATTCAGATTAACATATAACATATCAGATTAATATATAAGAGGTTCTAATCTGGCTGCATTCACAGTTCAGGTTGTTGTGAATGGTAAAAAACAGACTATGGTTTTGGACACAGGTGCAGCTATATGTGTGATTTCTTTGACAGACTGGAAACGCCTTAACATACATAGGTCAATTATTCAGACAACAGTGATACTGGAAACATATTCTAAAGAGTAGTTAATTACATTGAGGTGTGTAACTGTCACAGTTACATTAAACAATTGTAAGAAGAAACTACCTCTATATACATTGGAGGGCCTCCAATTTTCGGTAGGGAATGAATAAGTGCATAAGTATCCATGTCATGTGTTGAATAAAATGCAGATCATACTTGAGTGGATTAGGAAGTAATGTACCAGCGTTTAATGGCTAGTTGGGGACTGTAAAGGGATACAAAGTTTCCTTGGAATTAAAGGAAGGAGGGTCACCAGCATTTTTTTTAAAGCAGGAAGTGTGACATTTGCTCTATAAGTAGGAGTGGAGGCAGGTCTGTTAAATGATTACAATCGTTTTTTGACTAATTTAGCTCATGTACTGTACCCTTTACATAATTTTCTAAAGAGTAAACAACAATGGTGCTGGACAGTAGAATGTGCTTCAGCTTTCCATAAGTCAAAATAATTAATTGGCTGATTCTGTGGCTGATGGAACAGACAGGCCAGTGGCTTTTGCCTCTAGATCGGTCACAGCTGCAGAAAAAACTATTCTCAAATAGATAAAGAGGCAATCGTATGGGCAGTAAAGAAATTACATCTTTATATATTTGGTCGACCCTTCACACTGCTTACGGACATTAAACCCTTATTGACAATTTTTAACCCCCAGAAAGGCATCTCAATCATAACAGCAGCAAGACTTCAGAGATATGCCTTATCGTTGGGGCCTATCAGTATCAGATTCAATATCATCTGAACGCCCTGCATGTTAATGCAGAAGCCTTCTCTAGGCTTCCATTCAAAATGGATTTACAATTAACCACCGCACAAAGATCTACAATATATTTTAATGAGGTGATAACAGCTAAAGACAGCCAAGGACTGTTGAGGAAAATATTTGCTTATGTACACAAGGGTTGGCCACTAAAAGTTCCAAACAAGAGCTTGGGAGTTATCAATTCGAGACAGCTGTTTAATCCATGACAGGTTGTCTGTTATACATGGTTGAAATTGATTTGTATCTCTCCATGTGCAATGTCCATCAGAGGCTAAAACTTTGTAGTGCACTGGCCCCAGAACTTTCTTTATCACCACTGCTTGCCAATGATTGTCCTGATGATATGCATCCAAGCAGTATCCTCTATCTGGTAACAATGGCCTTCTTTTCCATCTTGCATCTTCAATTGTTGCTGGATGACTGTAGGGGGATGGTTTGGATGATTTGGAGGTGATAACCTACTAGACTCAGGAACAAGAAGTTCCAAGCCACAGTACAAGTAACTATGAAGGACGTGGTCAAGAAAATACTAGCCATTCCACAAAAGAAAGAAGGGCCACATCTGCCACGGACAGACTGGATCCAACAGGCAAATATAAGGAAAGAAAATACTAAAATAAAAATAACAACAAGAGTATTACCAGAACTTAGAATGGCCGGATTAAACGCACCAAGAATAGTACAAGACAAGCAGAGGTCAGGGTTACAGAATACACAATAAACATAAGGAAAAAGCCAAAGGTCAAGATCAAATCAGATGGGAGAATAGTCAAAGATGAGCCAAGGTCAAAATGGCAGAAAATACAAGAAATAAACACGCTTTCTGATAAACCACAAAATAGAAACCATGACAGGGCATCAAACTATTGGCAAAGTGAGTTTAAATAAACTAAAAAGGGTTCCCATTGGTTCCCACGTCCGCGTCACCAGCTTTGCATTCTGTGTATGTACCTTTATACATACATATAGTATGCATGCATATAGTCTGAGAAACTCCACAGTGACAAGTAGACATGTGCAATTCGTTTCGGTCCGAATATGAATTCGGCCGAATTTCGGGAAATTCGGACATTCGGGTACTTCAGAATTTCCGAAGTGCCGGAGTTCTGAAGTGCTGAAGTACCGAAGTTCCGAAGTTGCCGAAGTTCTGAAGTGTCAAAGTGCCGAAGTTCCAAAGCACAGTATTGCCTAAGTACTAATATACTTACCCAGTGAAAGAAGAAGAATGTTACATAAAAAATGCTTTGGGGTTGGTTTTGCTCTCTTTAGCTATCATTTTTTCATTTGGAAAGAGAATGACTTCCCAAAAATTCAGAACAAATTAATTTGTCTTTTGGGAAATCATGTGAAAATATTGGGAAATATTGGCTGATATCAAGAAAGCAAAGTACTTTGGGATTCTTTTTGACAGCACCCCTGATGTGTCCCACACTGATCAGATGTGTGAAGTGATCAGATATGTTCATATTGAAGGTGAGAATGTTGAAGTAAAGGAATCATTCTTGGGTTTCTTTCCTATTGCTGAAAAGACTGCTGCTGAGCTCACAGAAAATATCATGCAACATCTGGAGGAAGATGGACTAGACATAAGCCTTTGCCGTGGTCAAGGATATGATAATGCCGCAACTATGACAGGGATTCATAGTGAAGTTCAGGCAAAAATAAAAGATATTAATCCCAAGGCTTTGTTTATGCTATGTGCAAACCATTCTCTGACCCTCTATTGGGTGCACTCATTTGGAAGTGTTGCTTCCTGTGTGACCTTTTTTGGAACATTGGAAAGAGTGTATTCCTTTTTTCTCGGTTCCTACACATCGTTGGGAATTGCTGATGGAGAATTTAGGTGTCAAAGTGAAAAGACTTTCCCAAACAAGATGGAGCGCTCATTGTGATGCTGTGAAGCCAGTGAGGGCAAATTTTGAAAAACTGACTTCAGCCCTTGAAAAACTGTTTAATCCCAAAGAAAATGTGGACACAAGAGGATCAGCTCAGATGTTGCTGCCTGCCGTATGTGATTTTTCTTTTTTGTGTTACCTTTCTTTCTGGTGTGAAGTTCTAGAAGAAGTTAATATCACACAGAAGTATTTGCAAACAGTGGGACTCACTCTTGAAAAGTGCATTGTGAAAGTACAAGGTCTGATAGAGTTTCTTGCAGATCAGCGCAGTGAAATTGTGGAGAAGGCCATTTGTTATGCAACTACTACATGTGAAGAAATGGACATTTCTATGGAAAGAAGAGGGAGAGTAAAGCTCTGGAAACCAATTCCAGGAGAGAAGGCAAAGGACGCTGGTCTCACATTGACAGAGGAAATGAAAAGGGCTACGTTTGAGTGCCTTTATCGTTTTCATCACGAGTTGGAAATTCGTTCTAAGGCAATTGAAAAAATCTTTTCAATGTTTGCTGTTATTCAGCCAAATTCTCTGGTTGTGGCAACAGAGAAAGATATTCGTAATTATACTCCAAAACGTTTGACAAATTCTCTAATGAAGACATTTTTAGGGAAGTTGAACATCTTTGGAGGCATTTAGAAGCTGCCAAGTTCAGTGTTGAAGAAGAAAAAAAATGGACTGTATTGCAGTTCCTGGAGTTCATTGTTAAATGGGATTATTGTGACTCTCTGCCAAATTTGTCACTGTGTTTAAGATTCTTTTTGACTCTCTGTGTGTCTATTGCTTCATGTGAAAAAAGTTTTTCCAAATTAAAATTGATAAAAAAAATTATTTTGCTCAACGATGAGTGAGACAAGGTTGACAAATCTGGCCATACTTTCAATTGAGCATGAATATGCAAGGAAGATTAGCTTTGATGAAGTAATCAATCAGTTTGCAGAAATGAAGGCTCAAAGGCAGAGGATGTGAATCATTCAAATTACCTCTGCCGAATAGAGTGAGTGGTCACTTTGGATCTGTGTTTTTTTTGTTTATAGAAAGTGTATTAGCTGTTCAGTAAAAATGTTAATTATTTAAATGTAATTTATTTCTAAGTTAATTTACTTTTCATAGTTCCATTTTTTCAAGTTGCTATACAGTTTACACATTTGTGCAATAAATATTATTGAAAACATAAAAAAAATGTGTGGGTGTTTTCTTACATTTTTATGTAGCTGTTTAGTAGATAAGGGAGTGTGCTGGATTTTCATTTTTACTGTACTTATTGGCCCCCAGTAGCACCCTATTTAGGCATGTTCAGGGGAGTGCAACCAACCCCTTGCTTTCTCATATATATATATATATATATATGTATATATATATATAGGAATCTAGCCAGCTCCTTTGTTCTGCACCCCTTCCTGTCACAGGTGCCTCATCACAGGGCCCTATTTAGCCTTGTACTGTAGAGAACTCGAGATGGAAGTATTTCCCCAAGTAAGTAGCTCATTTAGCAGACATTTGGCTGTTAGAGTAGGACCTGCCAAAGATGGGGTACATTGGAGCGATGCCATGCACGTAACGTGATGTGCGCATGCTCGCCCTGCTTGAAGGGATGGATGCCAAAAGGAGGTTTGGCAGTAATGCCGAGTATGGTGGGGGGTCACAACCTACACTGAATGTGGAAGTCAGGGAAGTCTGGAGGCTTGACAAAGACCTTTGGGGTTGAAACATTGCTGTTGTGGTTCCTAATAAAGTACCTTTCTTGAACCAAGGAGTGCCTGGACTTCTATTACTTTATTCATTTTTGAAAATCTGGTTCCACACACAGTTCCACACACACTACTAAAGGGAGGTCTGGAGGAGCTGACAGCTCAGTCAACTTATTTGAGGTTGGCACCCAGCATTTCAGCTGATTTGCTCGACTCTGGTGAGCCTAACATAAGCTGAAGACGCTGAAGGCTAACAATATGCACTACATACATTACAGAGCACAGATTCTTGGTGACTTTAGTTCTCCCATAAGATAAGTAAGCTATATTTTCATCTTACTTATTTTGTGGCTCTTTCCAAATGTATATACATCTGGAAACCTTAAACTAAAGTACAGCAAGCAATTAGTTTATAAACATCCATTTTATTTACCTACTTTTTTTTCTATTACTTCTTGGGTTAGTCAAATTTAATATTGACCCGAAACCCAATTACTAGGTAACTTTTTTCTAAGGATCTGGTGATAGAAATTTGTTTGGAAGAATTATCTCTAAATCCATCAATTGTTTATCTATTGTTATGCTCAATTTGCACAATGGGTTTCAATGCACTATCATTTTGTGACGCTTTGATCTATGCTGCTGAAAGCATTGTATAAAGCATACAGAAGAGTTCTCACTTGACATTTGATAAATTAGTAATTTGTCCTCTGTGGCTTGCAAATATAATCCACAGAGATCTAGTTAAGTAATATTCTAATACATTGTTGGCTTCGAATTCCACAATAATATAATATCTTATCCCATACCACACTTTCTAGGACTTGAAACTGTCTTCAGTTTTAATGGAATTAACATTTTGTGATACCTCATAGGAAACGTTTTTTCTCTCTCTCCTTTGTGGAAACAGGATATTTGTGACTAAACTCCACATTCACTGTGAGGGTTTCATCTGCCCTTTAAATGTCTCATGAAAGGGAGAAGGAAAAGGATTATAAAACTGCTGTTAACCAGATTGAAAATTACTATTCTCCTAAAGCCACTAATCCTGAAAATAAGAGGAGATCACAGCCTATTGAGCCTAATGTACCCTACGGGACTACAGCTCATCACACCTCCCATCCCTCCCACACCTTTCAATGCTTATCGGTTCAGTTATTTCCCATCCAAGTATCTCTGATATGTTAGAACATCTTTATTAGAAAATAAAACAAGATTTCGAGTACAATATACAAGGCTGACAATATCCATTCTGAATATATTGCACTACAGGCAGGAAACACAGAGATGGAAAATAGAATCAAATATTTAATGAACAAAGTCATTGAAGATAGGGTGAGAAGAAAGCATCTAAGAATCTGTGGTGTAAGCGAATCCTTCACTCAAGAGCAACTAGATCCATGCTTACAGAAGCTTTTTGGATCTCTGATCACTCCAATAGAATTGGAACCACATCGACTACAGATAAGACAATCCCAGGGGATGTTTTAATGTTTAATGTCTTATCTGTAGTCGATATAATCTGTAGTCAATATAATCGACTACAGATAAGACACTCCCAGGAGATGTTTTAATGTTTTTCCAACTATCACACCAAAGATATAATATCACAAGCAGCAAGAAAAAAAGACTCACTGGACGACAACTATAAGAACATAATGACCTTCCAAGACATTTCATTTGCAATAAGATCTGCAAGATTGAAATGTATTAATTGAATCCTAATTTTGTGATCTAATGAAATACGTTACAAATGGATTTTTCCCACAATGGTGGCTTATATTCTTTCTCAGATCCTAAGATCCTTCAAGAAAAATGTACTTTTTGTAATATTACACTACAAACTGGAGATGGATAACAGCAAATTTGATGGACTCTTTTTTTCTTCTCTCCTACTATTTTCCTTAACAAAGAAGTAGACGATATGGTCTGAGTCCTTCCTTTGACTAAATGTTTTTTTCGATGCCACCCATAAACATATGCACATGGGTGGCATCTCTTAACAGGGGAATTCAATTTATGGAGTTTTGTCTTTTTATATTTCATATTGAACATTTAAGCCAACAATTTGATCAAACACTGTAATATATTTACTTATAGAGAAATTACTAATTTACATTTTATATATTTAATCTACATAGGATTACATAGTTTGCGGTGATAAATCACTCCAACAATTTTCTTCAACTTTTATGCAGAACATTTTTTTGGTTTTTTTTAAACAAAGCTGTAGATCATAAATATTTACTAAATAAATAAAAAAAAGTTAATGAACTGGACCAATCAAGAATCAGTGCCGCCTTTCTAGTCTTAAATGTCGAAAAGGCTTTTGATAGAGTCAGTTGGACCTACTTGGAGTCTGTCCTTGATAGTTTTGGACTAACTGGTAATATCAAGAACAATATAATGTCTTTATAGACTAACCCGACAGCTAAAGTAGTTGGCCCCCTATTTGAATATAGCTGGTTCATGGCACCTTTGCTTTACATACTCTCAATTGAACCTTTAGCTATTATGACCCATCAAAATGAGGAAATGCAAGAGATTCAAATAGCAGAGCATGCGTGCAAAATAACTCTCTATGCAGATTATGTTTTTCTATCTATGGCAAACCCCCTCAAATCAATTTGGGCCTTACTTTTAACTAGTAACTACATTTAGAAGAGAAAGCCTCACATGTAAAGCATAAATGTCATGCACCTAATGCACAGATAATGGGCTAAGTGGATAACCAGGGCATTACCCTAAAATACAGAATAATAAAACTTTATTGAGTAAAATGACATTTAGATACACCACAAAAGAAATAATAATAAGAGAAAATGAAAAACTCAAATATACACGCAATGGGGGGTGGGGGGGGGGGGGCATAGCTGACTGAGCAGCAAGCAAGACGTGCTTGAGAGGAGCTCCGCCAAAGAAACTGAAAAAAGCTGACTAAAACCTTTAAAACGCTCCAAAAAGCAACAAACAACAATAACTCCCACCCAGCCGACACAATGGTTCACAAAAACAAAAAAACCTTCCCGGAGACCTGTAAACTGCCCAATATCAGGTTCTCATTGACAGGCCTACCCCACGGGTCGTTCCCAAGATGGCGTCTGCAGGGTTTAGTGGCCTCACTCCATGGCATCGCCATACTGGGAGAAATACTTCCATCTCGAGTTCTCTGCAGTACAAGGCTAAATAGGGCCCTGTGATGAGGCCCTTGTGACAGGGAGGGGTGCAGAACCAAGGAGCTGGCTAGACTCCTAAATATATATATATATATATACTGCTCAAAAAAATAAAGGGAACACAAAAATAACACATCCTAGATCGGAATGAATTAAATATTCTTCTGAAATACTTTGTTCTTTACATAGTTGAATGTGCTGACAACAAAATCACTCAAAAATGAAAAAATGGAAATCACATTTTTCAACCCATGGAGGTCTGGATTTGGAGTCACACTCAAAATTAAAGTGGAAAAACACACTACAGGCTGATCCAACTTTGATGTAATGTCCTTAAAACAAGTCAAAATGAGGCTCAGTAGTGTGTGTGGCCTCCACATGCCTGTATGACCTCCCTACAATGCCTGTGCATACTCCTGATGAGGTGGCGGATGGTCTCCTGAGGGATCTCCTCCCAGACCTGGACTAAAGCATCTGCCATCTCCTGGACAGTCTGTGGTGCAACGTGACGTTGGTGGATGGAGTAAGATATGATATCCCAGATGTGCTCAATTGGATTCAGGTCTGGGGAACGGGCGGGCCAGTCCATAGCATCAATACCTTCGTCTTGCAGGAACTGCTGACACACTCCAGCCACATGAGGTCTAGCATTGTCTTGCATTAGGAGGAACCCAGGGCCAACCGCACTAGCATATGGTCTCACAAGGGGTCTAAAGATCTCATCTCGGTACCTAATGGCAGTCAGTCTACCTCTGGCGAGCACATGGAGGACTGTGCGGCCCCTCAAAGAAATGCCACTCCCCACCATTACTGACCCACTGCCAAACCGGTCATGCTGGAGGATGTTGCAGGCATCAGAACGTTCTCCACGGCGTCTCCAGACTCTGTCACGTCTGTCATATGTGCTCAGTGTGAACCTGCTTTCATCTGTGAAGAGCACAGAGCGCCAGTGGTGAATTTGCCAATCTTGGTGTCCTCTGGCAAATGTCAAACGTCCTGCACGGTGTTGGGCTGTAAGCACAACCCCCACCTGTGGACGTCGGGCCCTCATACCACCCTCATGGAGTCTGTTTCTGACCATTTGAGCAGACACATGCACATTTGTGAGATAAAATAGAAAGGTGAACAGCGCTAATAATCAGAAAATGTACATACGTTTTGTAGAAATACTGGCCAGCAGAGTAACTTAAAAAAAAAGAGAAACAAAAATACAAATAATGGTACAGTATGTATGAACGATATAATTCCACAAGAACAAAGGTGTTATATTCACACTCACACTTTGAGGAGCTATATCAGCTCGGTGTTAAGAGCCTGGACGGAATAATCCCGTCTATGGATTTCTTGAGGTTCAAGACCGTTGGTGAATTTATAGGTGTAAATATTCGTTACATGAAAAACAAGAGTAAAATACACCACATGGTATAGTACGTAAATATAAAATATTGTGAAAAAAAAGTGGATGATCCTACTTACATATACTAGAGCAACGACCTGCTCTAGTTTGAAGAATTTCAGGTGGAATAATCCCCACCTTGGGATATAGTGGACCCAGGTATAGCAGCAAAGCAGTATTGGATAGGAAGGAGGACAAAAGGAATGACTGGATAGTTTTAAAAAAATATATATACTTTAATACAATAAGTAAAAAGTGAATAATAAACTATAAAACCAGTCCTGTTTAAAAGTCCAAAATTCTTCCTCACTTGACGCGTTTCGCCGAAGCTTTCTCAAAAGTGAATGCTTGCTGCTTGGGGTCCTTGAGATTATATACCTTCTCTGATGATGAAAATCGATTCTGCTGTGCATATTTTTCATCATCAGAGAAGGTATATAATCTCAAGGACCCCAAGCAGCAAGCATTCACTTTTGAGAAAGCTTCGGCGAAACGCGTCAAGTGAGGAAGAATTTTGGACTTTTAACCCCTTAAGGACCAAACTTTTGGAATAAAAGGGAATCATGACATGTCAGACATGTCATGTGTCCTTAAGGGGTTAAACAGGACTGGTTTTATAGTTTATTATTCACTTTTTACTTATTGTATTAAAGTATATATATATTTTTAAACTATCCAGTCATTCCTTTTGTCCTCCTTCCTATCCAATACTGCTTTGCTGCTATACCTGGGTCCACTATATCCCAAGGTGGGGATTATTCCACCTGAAATTCTTCAAACTAGAGCAGGTCGTTGCTCTAGTATATGTAAGTAGGATCATCCACTTTTTTTTTTTCCACAATATTTTATATTTACGTACTATACCATGTGGTGTATTTTACTCTTGTTTTTCATGTAACGAATATTTACACCTATAAATTCACCAACGGTCTTGAACCTCAAGAAATCCATAGACGGGGATTATTCCGTCCAGGCTCTTAACACCGAGCTGATATAGCTCCTCAAAGTGTGAGTGTGAATATAACACCTTTGTTCTTGTGGAACTATATCGTTCATACATACTGTACCATTATTTGTATTTTTGTTTCTCTTTTTTTTTAAGTTACTCTGCTGGCCAGTATTTCTACAAAACGTATGTACATTTTCTGATTATTAGCGCTGTTCACCTTTCTATTTTATCTGTCTATTTATCACAAGGTAGAGGAACACCTTGTTGGTGAACTGCTGCTCACCCCTGAGAAGAGAGCGCTTATTATTCTTTTGCACATGCACATTTGTGGCCTGCTGGAGGTCATTTTGCAGGGCTCTGGCAGTGCTCCTCCTGTTCCTCCTTGCACAAAAGTGGAGGTAGCGGTCCTGCTGCTGGGTCACATTCAGCCCTCCTACGGCCTCCTACACGTCTCCTGATGTACTGGCCTGTCTCCTGGTAGCGCCTCCATGCTCAGAAGGAAGAACATCCGCATACGAGGAGTGCCAGAACTGATCTCGGGTGAGGACCTCCTGTCCTTCCTTCACGGCTTACTGAATCACATGGGAGCCAAAAGGGGCACTGACCCGGAATTGGTGACCGCAGTGTTCTGGATCCGCAAGGCCGCAGCTACCCCAGAGGATGCATCTAGAGACATAATAGCAGTCACTAAGGATATTGTGACTAGGTCCACCATTATGTCCCGCTCTAGAGAGCTTAAAAGTCAGATTTGAGGGCTGCACTGTAGCTATATATGGGGATCTCCCGTTCGCGGTTCTAATGGCAAAAAGGCACCTAGCACCAGTTGCAAAACGACTACGGGAGGCAGACATCAAATATAGGTGGGGAGCAGAGGGATCCTTAGTGGCCCAACAGGAAGGGGAAACATTTACCTCAGTGCCACTTGGGATTCGGGCCAGCAAACAGCTTCCCTCCCGCCCGCCCTATTGGTATATTTAGTCACAGCTAGCCGGGGGTATGTCCTTGCCAATTGAGTTTGAGTGGTTACATTTAAGTATATGGAATGAGATGAACAAGTTTTTTTAGGTCTCAACCTCCCCTGCTTCAAAAGGTTAAACATTAGGTTGCCTGAGGTGTTGTGCCCATCGAGCGTGGATAAGGTCGGCTGATGGCGGGCATTGGAAATATATGATTTTTATGATGAGGGGGGAGGTGAGACGAAGTGGTGATTAGGAACCACTGTATGTTTATTGGCAAGGATGGTTGGGTCACTGTCATGGGTTGGGTCATGGAGATCAAACAGCATTTCTCCAGAGCCTACAGGTGTCTGGAACGGACCCAGAACAGGCCCACAGGGCCAATACCAGCACCCTGGGTACTTAGGGCCGTTACACGGCCCATCCCATGACCACGCATAACAGGGGGTTCCAGGGAGGCTAACCGTCCGATCACTGTCATAAAGGTTGCCCCGACAGGGGAGCATAGAACGACACATTACCAGATGACACACATTTGTTACACTTCCCTGCAGCTTAAGATCAGAGTATAATTAGATGTTCTGTACATATTTTACGTTTTGAAACTGATTCACTGATGGGCACTTGTTTCAGCCACATACAACCACCAAGTAGTAGTACCTATTAGAGAGGGAGATGCTAAGTCGGGCGCAGCCTAAGCATATACTAGCCTAGAGCACAAGTCCCCAAAAGTACCTTCATTAAAACATCCCCAAATGCTGTAATATAAAGATGTATTGCTATATGCTATATGGATAGACTGGAATACGTAGTTGCTGAACCATTGTCTTTACCACCCTATTTATATCATATATTTATATCATATCATAATGCGATACAGTTGTGTTTTGTGTGTGAAAACTCAATAAAATACAAATTGAAAAATATATATATATATAAACACACACAATAGTGATATGGTGTCAACACAGTAAATTTTTTGTCTTTGTTCTTGCTTATATAAGTACTGATGTCCTTTATAATTATTCAGTTTTGATTTTTTAGCCACCATGCTAAAACCTCTTCCTAACCAGTTCACCAGCCTGCCTTTGGCAAAAGAGACCTGATAACCTTGACTCTACAAGGAATGATATCAGTGTCAACTCTCGTCAGGTGTCTGGTTCTTGGCCTATATAAGCCACTTCCTGTCTCTGTACCTTTGCGAGATTATTGTGGTTCCTGTACGCTATAATCCAGCTTGTTACTGTTTCTCCTACCTGTTGCTGAATTTGGACTGTTTGACTTTGCTGCTTCTCCTTCTTACTGACCTCTGCTTGCCGAACAACGATTACCATCTTTCTGTTCCAGTCTCTGATCTCTGCTTAAGACCAGACAACCACCTGGGTAACGAGTGGCTACTTCTGGCAGAAAATATTGCTGATCTGGCTGCTTTGTAACATCAATATCATTACACATGCATGGGTTTATACAAATGAGATTTAAAGCTAAGTGTCCAGGCTATCTTATGGTGATGATGAGAAAACCTTGATGCATTGACAAGGGAATACAGCTTATATCTACACCACATGGCAGCCAGGCTTGATTTGTGCCCTGGCTTGCTATTCCAGTGACCAGGTGAATAAATGCAATCCCTTTATCAACTCCTGAATCAATCCAAAAAGTCTCTTTAGCTCTCTCTGGCATTCAATGTTATACTTAAATATCTTTCCCAGCCTCCTGCTTATAACCTGGAAGAAACTGGAAATATTGTTTTCCCCCCATTATTAAGCCAGGCCCTGGGGAGATAGCGCAGCTAAGCGGACAAGGGCACATGTAGGAGTGTGGGGATAGATGCATGGGATTGGTTGGGAAGAGTGTGTGGGTGGGATTATGTTCTGTGTAAATTAGTGTGGGGGAGGTCTTACCTCAGTGCCACTTGGGATTCGGGCCAGCAAACAGCTTCCCTCCCGCCCGCCCTATTGGTATATTTAGTCACAGCTAGCCGGGGGTATGTCCTTGCCAATTGAGTTTGAGTGGTTACATTTAAGTATATGGAATGAGATGAACAAGTTTTTTTAGGTCTCAACCTCCCCTGCTTCAAAAGGTTAAACATTAGGTTGCCTGAGGTGTTGTGCCCATCGAGCGTGGATAAGGTCGGCTGATGGCGGGCATTGGAAATATATGATTTTTATGATGAGGGGGGAGGTGAGACGAAGTGGTGATTAGGAACCACTGTATGTTTATTGGCAAGGACGGTTGGGTCACTGTATAACACTATGGGTGGAGTTATATATGTATATATGTTAATTTATGATTATTTATGTTTAATGTTTTGGTTACAGAAAGAAGAGATTTAATAAATAAAGTTATGGATGTGTTATGCAGTAATTTAGTTTGTGATAATAAATGCTGTGGCCTGTTCATCCATACTAAGTGGTCTGTCGTTATTGGGGGGTAAATGGGTTTAGATTTGTGCTAGGCTGCATCGCGATTCCCCACTACGTACATACATGGGAGATTCTGTTGAATGCTTACAGTAGTGACATTCTGGATTTATGTAAAATAAGTGTGTGCTTTGGTTGTAGGGACACAAAAAAAATAGACTTAATAGTTCATAATAAAGAGGAGGGTGAAATACTGGCTGAATGAATCTGAAGAGAAGGAGAATGAAATGGTGAGCAATAAGGGCAACAAGATGAAGTATGGCATGGTGGAATTGGGGTCAGAGGAAAAGGGTGATGGGCAGTAGTTGGCATTAAGAAGAACATAGGAGGAAGGGTATAAAAGTGCCAAATAACGGTGGCCATATTGCTAAAGAATGCAAAAAAAAAATAGTGTGAACATTTCTTGTAAAATAAAAAGCAATGCACAGTGAAAAGCTGAATGGTACACTTATTGCCAGCTGCGAAATCAGAACGCTTCACAATTTGATGAAAGCAGCTGGTATACTGAAAAAAGTGAATGTACTTTTGGTATGCCTGGGCTGTTCTCCTTGGTGCAGTTTGTAAGGTTTCCGAGTGGTTGAGACAAACTCAAAAAGAGATATACTTTTCTGAGATTGCCAATCATGAAGATATTGAAACTTGAGATAGGGAGTGGCTAAAAAGGCTAGATAAAAAGCTGCAAAACTATCCTTTTTAAAATTAAAAAATACCCATCCTGGTTATGACTGCATTGAGTAATTGAGTATATTTGATAAAACACTGCTTGGTAGAGTCCTGTCCTATTGTCCTGCTTTTGAATTTGTGGAACTGTCCCCAGGCAGCACACTGTAAGCACATCATTAGACTAGCGTGAGAAGTGCAGCGCGCACTAGGACCGTGGCAGATAGGCTGTCAGTTAGCCTTGCATGCATGGACAACAGACTAACTTGACCCTTCAAGTGTGCAAGCCCATCTACCACCTCCAGGGCCCACCCATCCCGATCCCATACAATTCAGTGTTGGGAGATATGATGTAGTGTGTTACACATCAAGTCTATTCATAA